CTCCCCTCCTCCCTGTTAGATGCAGGTCCCAAAGTGAAGACAGGGCCATTCTTCATACAAAATATATACTATGAAGGCATAATTGGAAAAATCACCTGAATTTCTTGATGGTGTTAGTTATTTGTTCCACTTTATCAGCTGCCTAGTCAAAATAACTTTCTGGAAGATATATAGCACTTAAATAAAAGTAACTGTAAACTATAATTCCTTTAAACAGAAAATCAAAAGGCAAGAAAATGGAAAACAGTTTTAACAAATGGAAAACACTTCCAAAGCAAGCTGGAAATTAACCATCTTATGGCAGAAAGGCAAAAGAAGAAATTTTCACAGGGCTAAATAGCTGTGCTGAAGCCACAGTGTGTGGAACAAATTAAACTTTTCAAATAAGTTAATTAAAAGATTTAAAAAATGTCTAGGAAATAATAACACATTGTTTATATTATGCCAAAAGGGTATTATAATAGGTTAGTTGAAGAGGGCATATTCAGTTGGATGACTACTACGAAAAGGTCCTTTTTCACGTGACTACCTTTCACTTCTCAAATGCAGCTGCGCTTATAAAAGAAAAAAGTTGGGTCACGGGTATCAGGTTCAATCATTATTTGTGATTTCTTTATTCATTTTTGCTCTTCCTTTCTTCTGAGGGCTCAAAGTGGCTCATATGAAACCCTCTCCGTATGTTTTTGCACAACAGTCGAGAGAGGTTAGGACGTGAGCAGGTCTCCCTATCCTATGCCCACCATCTCAACCCCAGACTAAAGGAAGTCTTTTGTTTTCTTGCAGATGACTCTAGTTCGGAAGAATTACAGAGAGTGTATCTTAAAGCTGATGAAGACAGGTATTTCATTTAATGTTCAGCTGACAGCTTCCTATCCTTTGCTGATCATCATGGCGATGTGTCCTCCTAACTCCCCATTGATTTAGCATTCATAGGCATTCAATACAAGCCATAATGACATCACAGGTATCATAGTGTCCTCACACAAATGATGCAAATTACGGTCTTGTCATTTATGCTGTGACATTCACGTTGTATGTGATGTCACTAGCCTCCAAGGGTACCCCTGATCGTATCCATATTGTACCCCAAGTCTTTCTTAAACAATCTCATTCATTCAAATATGGCTTTCTCAAGATTTAACGTCTCAGCTCTTACAAATGAGCCAGATTTTGTTTCTAAAGAGTAGGTAGTTGCATACTAACTACTAATGGCTGAGCTTGTGCAATGAAACCAGGCATAGATTACAAAGTCGCATCCTTGGGCAGCCACCTAGAACTTGCACTAACATGGGAAGCAAGAATGGGAACATCTGAGAATGGTGAGAAACAGCTTCATTTTATTTTGTCATCTCAGCTTACATGTTTGTATATAGAGAGAGAGCGAAAGAGACAGCGGAAGGAAAGGAAGGAAGGAAGGGAGAAAGAGAGAGAAAGAGAGAAAGAAAGGAAAGAAAGAGAGAGAGAGAGAGAGAGAAAGAAAGGAAAGAAAGAGAAAGAGAGAGAGAGAGAGAGAAAGGAAAGAAAGAATTTTGCTTTATTCATTGCTTGTTCAGATAGCTATGTGTATCTCCTTTAGGATTTAAGGAGGAGAAAATTATATCTAGGACCTCTTCAGCTCCCTTTTTGCAGTCTTGGTACATTCTTTGATCATGGCTGTGGGGAACTGACAGCATAGTTTGCCACCTCAAAACAATATTAAGGTAAGCCTTAATATAGGCATATTCACATTTAAAACAACCTCCCCACAAACCCAGCCCCTCCCCTCTGCAGAGCTCACCTTCTGCAAAAATATGGCAACTAAAAGGAGGCCCACCCCTTTTTAGCCCATAGCTTTAAAAAAAACCCTAAATTTCAGATGAAGCAAAGACAAACAGGTTGGACTCCAGCCCCCTATGATCCACGACCAAATGTGGTACATTGTTGTGGTTTATGGAAGTTGTAATCCAATCCAGAGTTATTTGTTTTTATTTTAACTCTTCCATCTGAACAAGAATGGAGAATTATAAAGTCACAAAAACACTGTTGTTTCTTTTTGCATCTTCAAAGCTTTACTGTGACTCCTGAAGGCTGCCGCGTCTTCTTGGCTTGTGGCATTCAACTCCGTTTCCCACGGGGTGCTGCAACTACTCTAGTAACTATTCACTTCCAGAAATGCTCCCCTGAGCCTCATTGGGTGAAGCTGAAGCACCATGACATTGTGCTAAGTAAAGTCCTGGAACTGCAGCCCCATGGGATTCATTTCCAGCAGGTAAGTGCAGATAGGTTAAAGGAGATTAAGCTGGAATCTTATAAATTCTCTCAAGATTTACAATTTACAGACTAGCATGAACAAGGGAGGGAAAACATGCAGAGAATGGCTTCTGGAAGCTCTTTACAGCAAAGTATTTTCTTGTGTGACAAAGTAATATGGTTGCTGTCTCCATGTGTGTTTCTGCTGTCGCCTCTGGTTGAATCCATACATGTGCACTGGGAAGCATGCATATACTCCATTTGGAACAATCAGCATTTTGAGCCACTGTCTGTAATGGTATGTGGGAATGACCTTGGGAGACTGGGTGAAAAGATGCTGCCTAGCGAATCATCAGATAAGGAGCTTAGCCTACAGCTGCATAGTGGGAGAACAAGAGGCTCCGAAGGGACCCTCCCTAAGTTCTTGGGCAGTAAAGGTGACGATGGGAGAATAGTACTTTCAAACTTGCAAGATTCTGTTAAGGTAGCCTCACAATAAAGTAGAATTATCTCATCTGGTCATGTTTCTTGTCTGGTCTACTTGGGAAGGCTGACATCAATCTTGAAAGTACTATTCTCCCATTATCACCTTTACAGTCCAAGAACATAGGGAGGGTCCCTTCTGAGCCTCTTGCTCTGCCCACTATACAGCTGTTGAGTTATACTCCCTCTTATCTGACCTGTTTCCTAGGCAGCATTTCTTCACCCAGTCTCCTGCAGTCATTCCCACATACCATTACATCGCTCAACTTCCTCTCCCGCTGGGGTGATTTTTCTTCTCCACAACCCCTGGCTGGATTTAGTCATTTTCGAACTCAGTCTTTCTTTTGACTGGTTTTCCCTCCACATCAGATTTGATTTTCTGATCAGTTTTTAGTAGTTCTGCTGAGAGACAAACAGACAGAGTACTTATTTCCATTGGGTTGTTGGATTGGGTGACCATAGATTAGCTGCTTGTTAAATAGGCTGATGGCTGGATTGTCTGCTGGGCTCCTACTAAACAGTTTAGGTTGAATTTTGAATTTAGTGTGGATTTCCCCTCTCCCCCTCCCCTCCACTCAGACACTAATCCAGCTTAGAGATCTGGGATTTAGGAAATTAAGGAGAGAGTGTTGTTGAGCAAGTGCAGGCTGTCTGACTTTTTTCACATGTCCCAGTACATTTTCCATCAGATATGCAGAGGCTGTTTGTAGGAACAAAATAATGTATTTCCTAGTTCAGAGAGAATTGATTAGGACAAACTTGAAACTAGACTTCCCCCATTTTAGAAAATCCACTGAACGTATTTATTTTAACAATGTACGTGCCCATCTTTTCGGTATACATAGAATGATTGAGACATGGATTTGCAGACAGGATCAAATATTATGAAATTACTGGGAGTTCCAAAAATTACTATAAGATACAAGGTGCTATCATATCCCTAAAGAGCAAGTAGCTAATTGTCTAGAATGAAATATCTCCCTGTTAGATATCTCCGTTGCTTTGCTGTTGGATCCCTGAGTCCCTGAAAGTTGGCTGTGGCATTCCAGTCCACAGGCTGTGTTATGCACTGAGCAGATGGTGCTGCCAGTCTTCCTGACCTTGTTGCAGGCAGGGGCATCCATGTGAGGGAGAAGAAGTCCAAATGATATGCTTCATGTGACAACATCGTCATGCCTGCCGTAACTTACATACTTGTATCCAGTATCAGGATGCAAATATGCAATGACAGTCTTTGTGTGATGATATCATTGTGTATGTGTTATCATTCTGAGAGATCATGGATGCTGCTGTGTGCAGGCAGCATGCCCAACTAGGCCAATAAGTTATGGGTGGAAAAGGATATTCGTTCCTTTTCCATTCAGTGTGAGACGTAAACCCTTTTGAAGCATGTCTGTGAAAATCTGTAGCTTTTATGTATGGACAGCTGCCCTTTTGATGGCACAGTATGCTGACTTCCATATGATCACATCCCATTTTCTATATTGCCTTCTTAGTGTCCTTTTTCTGCTTCCTGCAGTGAGTCTGCCCTTGAGATCTTTCTCTTGCTCCATATATTGCAGAGCTTGAGTAAGGTTGCCTCTCTGGGATGAACTTGTGGACACCCTCTCTTCTATCTTGGGGTGCTAGGAGGTGCGGATCTGGATGCCCTATGCCTCTCCTCGCAGCCTGCACGACCGTGAGCTCATAATCCGAACCTTTGATGGGCAGAAGTGGAGCGATTTGGGAACCAGAGTGAAGTGCAAAGGCAAGGTACGCTGAGGATGGCTGTGATACCCATTTCCTCATTCGTCTTGTGTCAAATGATTGCCATTCATTTGAGTTCTTGCAGGAACTTGACATGTAAATTATGTCTGACATGAATGATGTCTCATAGTTTAGAAATTATCAAGCTCTTTGGTTGGCTTTTAAAGAAACATTCAGCATATCTGTATTTCTATGGACTGGTTCAGATATAAACTCTTTGAAGAAACAATAACCCCTGCTCTCACGTGCTGAGAGACAAATGTCCTATTTTTTTAATTATCTAAATCTGATAAGTAATTCAACGCATCTTGAGAGTACCAAGTTGAAGAAAGCTGCTTCTACAAATCAGCATGAGCCTTCTGTCCTTCTACCTATCTACCAGGGCTTATATGCCATCCAATCCAGCAGGAATCTGAGCATTTTACATTCCATATTATAGTAAAAGGGATAAAATACAAAAATAAAATAACATAATAACTAGGAAAGAAACTAAGGCTACTAAGAACAAAATCAAACGCAACTCAAGTTATACTAGATTCCCTCCCAGGGCCTTCTTTAAAAGCCAGATTTTAACAGCTCTTCTAAAACACAGTAGGGTGAGGGCTGGTCTGACCTTACCAGTAAGCCCTGAGTTATGACCTGCTATGGCAATGAGTTGGTGTCTTTGTATCTTTAAAGTGCTTCCATATGTTCTGAAGGTTCTGTTCATTCTTCCACATTCTTGGACAGAAGCGCTTGGCCTGCTGCAGCGTCTCTCACTTCTCCTGGTTCTTAGTTGTCTCACGCCTTGTGGAGAATGAATGCGAAGTCTCTCAGGAAGGGGGCTTGCTTGTTTCAACTGTTGATCCCAACATTAAAGTGACCTTTCCTCCTGGTGTGACCAAGGAGGCGAGGACAGTGAAGCTTCAGGTAAGGGGAAGTCACCTGTTTAAACAAACACACACAGACAAACTTTGTCTCTGAGTAATCCAACCTTCCAATAAAAAAATTTTCCTATGTTACAAGGTTGAAAATCACCTGGTTCAGGTCACACAGTTTGGGTCATGTGGATTTAAAGCTATAAACTTAAAAGACATGTCTTGAAATAATTGTTTAATCTCATGTTTGACTTGTATAGCCAGCCCTTAAAATTATTTTCTCAGTAAGCCCACATTGCTAGTTTATAAAACCTCATTAAGGATATTGTTTAATTTCAGCTGGAAAGGATGGTGAGATGCAAATAAGCTGAACCCGATCACAGTCTGCAATTCTGCGCATACAATTTTTACATTAAATATTTTTTATGAAGACTGCCGTATGTTACTTGCTGCAGAAACCATGAGAAAAGTGGCATTCATTTTTTTTAAAAAGGGTTCTAGTTTTCAAATCCACAGAGACAAAAGAGAAATAAGGTTCAGGTTTGCAACGAGAACCAACTGTGCAGCGCCTGCAGGGCTTTTTCAGTGCATGTCATTTCTTTAGAGTCTCCAGTTAATTCACCTTCTCCATCCAGCTCTGTTGTCTGCCACATATTGTCCCTTTTTCTTGTCATTCATCTCTGAGGAATTGCTTAGATAAAATGTGTGCTTATATGTATCACATTCAGAATAAGACATACTATTTGCATAATAGTTTGGGTTCTGTGCAGAATTTGAGTTTGGTAGAGCAGTATTTGCTGCTGTTTTTTTAAAAAAGCCAAATGTCACCAGTCCCTGAGTCAAGGAACTGAACAGTGTTTCAGTTTTTGAACAGTCCCTCAGAAACGAAGGTGCTTGTCGTGCTCAATTTTAATTCCATAAATATTGAAAGAGCGTTTCAAAGCCAAAGGCTACCACCTCTTCCCCTTCAGAAAAATTAATCAGAACACCCTTTCCCTGCTTGAGAAGACTTTTGAGCATATCTTCTTTGAAAATCAGACACCTTTACACACTGGAGATTTTCAACAAAATCAAGAAATTGCTGAGCTGTCTCTGCCTTTAGTTCTCTGAGCCAGATCTGAGAAGTAATAACTGGGAAGGCTGACTCAAGAGACCCCACAAGGGTCAAATTACTGAGACCTGTGGCCAGAATCCAAGAGATTTCCTGGTTATATTTTCCAAAGGCATTCCTTAAATCCAGTCAGACTCCTCTCCAGTAAGTTTCTCAATGTTCAAGATCAACTTGTGGGAAGGGGAAGCCTGGAAAGCTCTCTTCACACCTGGAAGCCCACACATTCTTGAATGGGCCCAACCATCTTTTTTATGCTCAGGTGCTGCTTGTGTCAACAAAGGAGCTAAGAGAGATTACAGGTGATTCTGAAACGGTTGCCAGCCCTCTCCTCTGCCTCTCTCAGAATTCCACTGTGGACTTCCTTCAGCCTGTTAAAATTCAGCTTCCGCTGCCTTCTGGTGTCACAGGTCAGTTTCCCAATTGTTTTAAAAAAAATATTTTCACAGGATGGGAGTACTTCTCTAAAATGCAGCTCCCTGAATTTCAAGAGCAGCTCAATGTTGAATGCCTTGATACAGTTAAATGCAACTTTGAGTGAGGCCATCTTATTTTCTGTGGAGGAAATAGATTAAGTTCTTAAGGATAGGCATTGCACACGTTTAGGGTGGTTTAACTGTATCCTGCAGAACATTCAGTGTTTACATTTGGTCAAACTATCATAGTCTTCTCCAAATGTTATCTGTCCCATTGATGACATAAGCCAACCTCCATCCCCTCTGATGCAATTATAAACTGAAAAGAGTTCAGCCTTTAGGTTTGCAGCTAACATATTTTCATTTTTTCTTAGGTCTAACCTTGGATCGTTCCAGGGTACATTTGTTGCACAGTGACTGGGATGCTCAGAACTGGAGTGACATCACTGATCAAGTGGTACTGGAGTTCACCCACCTCTATGCCTTATTTGAAGTCACACACTTCTCTTGGTTAGTGGGCCAGCGATCATAATTTAACCTCAATAGTACTTAAGTGATTGTGGACTCTGTGGCTAGGCATCATTTGGGCCAGCAGTTTTCTTTCCATGGTAAGCAGCAAATGTTCTCAGCTGGCCTTTCCACCGTATGTACAATTGATATGTACTTGACCATAAGAGCTGAAGCCCTGCTTTTTCAGTTCTTTGCAAAACAAATGATGGGAAGCAAATTGTTCCCACATTTCGCTCAGACTGCTTTTCCCTTTTTAGAATGCTTTAAAAGTCATGACGTGGTGGACACCAACCAATCCAGATACAGATGGCCTTTGTTATCCATGACCTCATTATCTACATTTGCTAAGCAGAGGCCAGACCTCAGTATAATGTAAAGGTTTTTGCATATCCAAAATTTAGACTTTTTTTTTGGTTACTTTATGCATGCAATGGCAGATGGGATTTTGTGCATGTGTAAAGTACATTTTTTAAGATTTAGGGCAGTATATCTATTGTATATTTGTTCCTGCTCCTGCAACATATCTTGCTGGGTCAGCCTGAGGACAAGGCTCCACATGGCTTCTTCACAGCAGCTGGCTTTCTTTGACTTGCTTGGCTGTGATGGAGGGAGTCACCCCATGTGTACCCATGTGGCTCAAGCTGACTTTTCTGCTCCTCACAGTCAGGGTCTCTTGATCCTGCTGCTGAATGCTCAGGCAGACTCTAGAACACTTGTCCTCTTCCTCATAGCTGGAGCAGCGCCAGCTATGATTGCCAGCACTGTGGTTGGAGGCTTTGTGGAAACAAGACTTCTCCAACTGTGGTTATTGTAGTGAGCTGTGAGCACTCTGCAGGTAACACTAGTATCCAGCAGTGTGATCAAGGGGCACATCTGTTGAGATCACGAAAAAGCCATGCAAATTGGAGAAGCCAGTATGAGCCACATGGCACAAGTGGGGCAACTCCCTCCATCACCTATCAAGACAGTTGCTCCAAGAAGAAGGTGGAGAGCTGCCACAAGGAAACCATGGGGAACAAGGAGAAGGATAAACAAATACAGGCATGTTGCACAGACAGTTTCTTTGGGAGGTAGAGGACAATCATAAGCTCCAGAACCTAACCCACAGTTCCCATAGATTCAAAATCCCATTGGTCGCAGTATTGTTATCCAGAGTTTTATGCTGGAATGGAACCCCCTTGAATAACAAGGGCCATATTTATCTCCATTTTGTTTGTAGAAGTGAACTTTTCATCCTTGTGTGTAAGGTACAGTTGATGTAGCCACTCTGAGTTGCATCTCTTTTCCTGCATGACATTTCAGACTCTTCCTTTTTCTAAATCATTCCTCTGATGAAACTTAAATAAGTGACTGGGAAATGTTTTCTTTTAGTATAAGTTAGTATACATTTAGTATACTAGTATACATTTAGTATAATGTTTTCTTTTAGTACATTTATCTCCATTTTGTTTGTAGAAGTGAACTTTTCATCCTTGTGTGTAAGGCACAGTTGATGTAGCCACTCTGAGTTGCATCTCTTTTCCTGCATGACATTTCAGACTCTTCCTTTTTCTAAATCATTCCTCTGATGGAACTTAAATAAGTGACTGGGAAATGTTTTCTTTTAGTATAAGTTAGTATACATTTAGTATACATTTAGTATAATGTTTTCTTTTAGTATAAGAATCATTCTGTCGGGCAGAGTGAGGTATATAGCTAGAGAGCAAGCAGCCAATGCACCCCCAGCAGATAAAACAAGAAACGGCAGCGGAGGAGTTGCCAGCTGAAGCTGAGCAGTTAAAGGCACAGGCAAAAGAGAAAAGTGAAAAACAGGAACAAAGTGTTTTTGAGATTCCACGTAGGTCAACCCGTATAACAAAAGGGGTTCCACCTGAAAGGTTTGTTGTTCAACAAGTGAGAGTATGTCACA